GCCCGGCCCCGGCGGCCGCTTCCCCGCTGCCCTGGCGCTTGTTATCCCTTCCCGTCCCGGCAGTTGAAGCTGATGCCAGGCGGGGTGGCCTTCCTCAGCGCCGGGACCCGTGTTCAGGGCGCCCAGCAGAATGGATGTGTTTGGGATTGCAGGATTAGGTTTATTGAGCCATCTCCTAGGGGCAGGCAAAGGGGGACAGCCTGGACTGTGGCCTCCCTCACACAGCCTTTAGCCAACCATCTCCCCAAAACTGCTGGTCTTACACCAACCGCTTCTAATTCCACTCCCCCCCCTTGAATTTGTTTGATCTCTTCTGCAAAGGGCTCCCTTTCCCCACTGCCCGTGTTTGTGCCAGCAGAGCGCTTCTCACACCCTGCTGAGCTGAGCATCCCAGCCCCTGCAAGGGCCCAAATTTCACCAGAGCACCTGGGCCCCTTGTTTCCTCTTGGGGAAGTCCCCTGCAGAGCAGCCGAGGTCTTTTGCAAATTGTGCAGGAGAAATTAAAAGGAGGGCCAGACCAAGTTGTTTGCTGGGTGCCATTTCTGCTATAGTTGCCCTTTTGTTTTGGTTTCTCAAGTGAAGAGCTCTGAATGACAGCGGGATGCTCCCATGTTTGGCACAGGGCAGGCACCCAGGCCCTGCAGGACGAGCACGGCTTCAACTTCTGCTTCCCACTGGAGCTGAGCGGTTTCTGTTATCTGCATGTGCAATGTGAAAGCAAACAGGTCTCTCCTTTTTGCATAGTTTGTTTAGGAAAATATGGTCTAGAGATAGGTGAGCTGAGAGAAGTTGTGTAAACAAGGTCTAGCTCGCCTGGAGGTTTCATTTTCCATTTCCCACACAGAGAGAAGTCGTGGTCCAGGTGCACAACTCCATGTAGTGGAGGAGATCTACTCACTGCTTGCATGGTTGTCTTAAAGATTGAGCCAGCTCTGCCCCTTTCTACACACCCCCATGCCTTGTGCCCCCAAAGCCTTTGTCTTGGGGTCAGAGCCATGAGGAGTCCTCCGGGAAAACTCCATACATGAGCCCATAGCTCGGGGGTGACCAACTTTCGGTGCCAGAGCTGCGTGTGACTTCCAGACACGTTGAGGGCAACCCTGGGGTGGCTGCTCTGTGGCTGTGGTGCTGTGAGGGTATCCGGGTAATCCGAATTCGGGCTTGTGGGAACAGTCCAGCTGGAAATACAAATGTCCTCTTACTGTTTTGGTTGATGGTTAGTTGTAATTGGGGCTCCCAGCTCTCCTAGTCCCATGCTGCGGTCTTCAAAGCCCTTTTTTCCTCCTTCCTGCTCATGCATGAAACTCTCTGCTGTTGTTTTCAGCTTGAAGATCTTCTTCCTGTTGGTGAGTGATACGTAGAACGCTTTCCTAGCTTGTTAATTCTGTGTCACCAGTCATAATAATTATACAGCGCTGAGTATTATTAGTACAGCAGTTGTTTCTGTGCATCACTTGGAGCCAAACCACGGTACAGTTATTTTGTCTGATGGGTAACCAGAGCAATGCCAGGTTGGTACCTCATGTCTCCAAGTCGTAAGCAAGCAGAGCACTTGCACAGTGAGGCTGGTGCGAGGCAGGGCACTCCGGAGCTGCGCTTCAGGGAGGGATTGCACAGTGCTTCCATCCTGATGCAGGGCTGCTTTGGGCTCTGGTGTTTCCCTTAAATGTTGCCTCTGCCTCCTGCATCCTCCTCAGGAATTTTTTCAGGCCACAGTCCTTGGAGCTGCTCCTCCTGTCTTGTGCCTGGTGATGGGCTCTCCAGGGCATGGACAGTTTGCTTGAGAAGTGGCTCTCAAAGGGACTGTGTGCTGTGCTCAGAGGTCCTGCAGGGCAAGGCCGGTGGCCTCTTGTGCTGCAGGCGTCTCAAAGGAGGTTGTAGCAGATGAGGCACGTGCTGTTACTTGTTTTAGTTTTTCCACAACTGTCTGTTTTGCCTCGCTCATGTCTGCAGGTGGTCTGATTCTCATAGAGAAGAAACCTCTCCTTGTCCGCTCAGGGTTGGTGTAGCCACGCTGAGGCTATGAACTTTTTGTCTTGAGTAAAACAGATGGGGTAAGCAGCAGGGTGATGAACTGGTTAAGCTAGGTAAATGCTTCTTCCACGTCTGTCCCCTTTGGGACCTCGCCCCGGCAGCTTGTCTGTCATACTAGATTTTCTTCTTAGACTTTGTCCTAAATAGTATCCATCTTCTAATTTAAAAAAAAAAAAATCACTTGTGTTTACCCAGATACGCCTTTTTTATCTTGGTTTTTTTCCCCTTGATTCCATCTGAGTTGCTTCATCTTGGCCTAATGTGCTTTTTTCCTAGTCGCCCATGTTTGATGGCAAAGTCCCTCACTGGCACCACTACAGCTGCTTCTGGAAGCGGGCTCGAATCGTGTCCCATGCAGACATTGATGGCTTCCCTGAGCTCCGGTGGGAAGATCAGGAGAAAATCAAGAAAGCCATTGAAACTGGAGGCCCTGGAGGAGGTAAGCGGAGGTTTCCTGGTCTTTGTAGGTTCAGCTGGAACCGTGCTCCTTCTTCTCAAGCTCCTCTTGTGGTTATTTGATTGCTGTGTCCCTTCAGCAAGTGATGGTGGAAGGATTGTTGTGGTATCTCTGCCCCCCAGGGCTGGGACACTGGCAGTATGATCCAGCATGTTAAATCAATGAGGGAAAAAGCCAAGTCAGTTGGCAGTTGTATTGCCAAATATGTCTTGTTATCATGATTGGTGTATTTTGTTTTAATATTAACAAATGCTGTTGTAGCATGTTGTTTTAATGGTACCTTCACTGCAGCATACGGTTTTGGTGGCTCTTTGAAATTGTTACCCCGTGAGCATGTGAGTCAGGGGAGCAAGTGAGAAGGGTCTAAGTACAGACCAGACTAAACTCACCCTGTCTCTGTGTAAACCAAGGCTGCTGGGCAGTCTTAGATTGATGTCTGCCTGTTGAAATGTAGTAATACAAAAAATAAAAGGAAAATGGCAGTCGGGAAGAGGAGTTCTACTTTGAAGCAGAGCTATTTGTGACTCCTGGTACAGTCAGTTCTTCAGTAAGATCTTGTTTCACACTACTTTCAGGAAAGAGGTAAAAAGGGTCAGCTCTGTGCACCTTTAAAATCATTAAATAAGCAATCCTGTGCAACCTCTACTCTTCTGTTTAAAGAAGTCTTCCTATTTTAAAAGTGCTTTTGAGCATGGACTGCTTATCTTGCTCTGTATTCAAATTCTTGACAGATGACTTGCTAGAACACAGGTTTGTTAATCCAGACTGCTAACAATCTGGGACAGAGAATAAGAAAATGAGGGAATGCCTTTTAAAGCTGAACTCTGTATCTGCTTTGTTCTCCAGGAAAAGGAGGGGAACAGGAAGGAGGTGGCAAGGCTGAGAAGAGCCTGAATGACTTTGCTGCAGAATATGCCAAGTCTAACAGAAGTACTTGCAAAGGCTGTGAACAGAAAATAGAAAAGGTAAAAAGCTTTTCTTAGTTAGCCATCTCTTGTCTTTGCTCCCACCAGTTCCAATTCAAACAGTGACTTTCATAATTGCTTCCTGTCTGTCCTGCGTATGCAAAGCACTTGCAGAGCTGCATTTCTGTGTCTGAGGAGTAGTTGCGTTCTGGACAGCTGACAGTAAAGACATCCCTCAGGCGTTGTAGCCTGCACTTCAAACCTGCTGATGCTTCCTCTTTCACTTGGGTCTTAGAGCAGGCTGGAAAGCCACTGGCCAGCATTTCTGTGGCAGGAGAGCTACCATTAACTGCAGCTTTTTCTGCTTGTTGCAGCACTGCAAAGGTGTTGGCCTCTTCCTCCTCCTCAGCAAGACCAGCTCTGTTTGTGTGCAGTGTATCGATGTTAACTCCATGAAAGCAGACAAAACCAGCTATAATTAACAATGGAGCCCTGTAACTGAATGTGTCTTGGTGCTCTGCTTTTAAAGACAGTTGGCAAAATGAAGCTGTGAGCCTCTGGTAGATACAAATAGTCCTTCCAGTTGGGTAAAGTTGGCAAGGGCCAAACGCCAGTGCTGTTATGTTTGCAGAAACATTGGTGACTGTTGTGTAGACATTTGCTTGTTGGAACATGAAGTATTGCAGTCCAAAAGCACCTAAAACAACTATTTGTTGGGCATCTGAAAAGTAATTTGTGATAAGAGGGGGTGAGATCATATTAGCACCGATGCTTGACTGGTAGGGACGTAAAGTTAATTTTTAGTTGCCTGCATGGGGTTTGGTCATGTGAGTTTTGCTTGTTCAAGCTTACTGGGAGTTGGAGTAAAGACTACAGGATCACCTATTTTGAGTGGGGTTTTTGAACAGGAAACTACCTAAAAAGCTGGGGGGTTTTCATCCTAGAAGGAGTATTGAAGAAGGCATTGTAGTGAAAGGGCTTGAACAAAAGTTGCAGGCTTTGATAGAGGAACTGCTGCTATTTGACAGGTGTTTAGGAAGCATCATGTTGGTAACTTGTTAACATCCTGCTCTTTCCAAAGCAGACTAACAATTGCTCTTGCGTTGCTTTAATATGCCGCAGGGCCAGATCCGGATTTCCAAGAAGATGGTGCATCCTGAAAAGCCACAGCTGGGAATGATAGATAACTGGTACCACCCGGACTGCTTTGTGAGCCGCCGAGCCGAGCTGGGCTTCCTCCCAGCGTACGGGGCCGCCCAGCTCCTGGGCTTCAGCATCTTGAAAGCTGAAGATAAAGAAACTCTGAAGAAGCAGCTCCCAGCTACCAAGAGCGAAGGGTATGTGGGGAATGCAACAGATTGCGTTGCCTAGAGGAGCCGTTGCTTGCCTTCAAATGCGTCTGTGATAAATGTTTTGTGACATTGTTGTCTCTCAGAAGAATACTAGTTGTAGGAGGATTTGGTCCTTCCTGTGACCTTAGGCAGATGACAACAGACAAATCCCCTGTCCTTGGGAGCATGCAGTCCACTTGCCCTGTGACTGCCTTGACAAAATGCAGAGACCAGCAGCTGTGACTTGGAGGACTGATGTAGGGCTTTCAACCATAAAATAATAATGCATGCTTAATACATATGGGTACTGGGCTCTGCAGCTCCTTGTGTGATGCTGTTATTGGTGATGGTTTCTCTGCTCTAACCACTTGTTAAGAAAATTGATTTGACATGTCTTATCTATGAGCTGCTGATCTGTGACAGGCACTGAATCTGATAATGGTGTTTATTGGCCGTGTAGTGCTTACACTTGGATGCTTTTGTTTGCTAAATCTTTTATGGTACGACTGAAATTTCATTGCCTTGCATTGAAATTTTTAGTGGAGGCTCTTGACAGAACTTGTACTGACAGAGAAGCGCTTCCAGGTGACTTGCTAGCTTTGGTCAATCTTTCTCTGTTAATGAAGGCTTTTGTTACTTGTTTTTGAAGTGACTTTGCCTAAAGTCATGTTTCATAACACAAGGCAGTGTTGCATTGCTCTCATGGAGGAAGGAACATAAGGTGTTCCTGGGTTCTACAAATAGGAAAGATTTTATGGTTGTAAAAATTGGGCTTCTCTGTGTACCTTGCAGACTAAATTCAGATTTACTTTTGCAAGGATTCACCATGAAACTGTCCAGTGAGACTGATGTCAGGTTCTGAGAAGCCATAGCCATGTCAAATCTGTGCAGTCTTTGTCAGTATTGGTTCTCCAGATACGTGGTTGATGGGTGTTGTGTGTTGTGCAGAGCCTAGTATGTACATGAATGTCATCCACCGCCATAGGTAGCAGGAGGACCTATGCGTGCATAAACTGACCCGTGTGTTGTTAAGAGGCTGCAACTTCCATGCTTTATTGTTGGTTGGCGAGCAGGTGCTCCAGAAGCGCTCAGCAGTGGCCTGGGTGCCGTGGGGAGGGTCCTGCAATGCCGCAGGAGCTGGTGCTCCTGCTGGAGCCTCATCAGGTTCTGCGCTGTTCACCTCACTCAGATGAACTGCTGGAGGCTGGATGAGCTGTCTGCATCTGCCCTCTTTTCACACAGGCATTTTAACCTCTGTGTGTGTTGCAGGATGTAAGTACAAGTACAGTGTTCTATTGCACTGCCACCTTTTCGAGTACTCCTTTGCTTTTTGTGCCAAGGTGTGTGTTCCACTTTGTCCTAGAGCAGCGCGTGAGTTTAATAGGGTTATTTGTAGCTTTCTCCCATGTCTTCAGCAAAGCTCTAGAGATTTGTCTGTGTAAGTGTTTCTCTCATCTGCCCTGACTCTGCTTTTCTGGGCCACTTCTGGGATGCAATGCAAAATATGAAGGCTTTGTAAAGATAGGCCACAGAGTAGTTTGCCAAGTCACTGTGTAAATAAAAGCCTAGAATTGCAGTGGAAAAAAGCTTATACTGGTGGTCTAGGGTAATGTGAACCAGGATCTCATGCCAGAAAAGCAGCAGGACGTCTCATCTTTCCTGCTTTCTAAGCACTGCATGAACAAGCCCTTCAACCGTGAAGGTGCTGGCTGGCTCTTATGCTCCACTACCTTTCTTCTGCTGTTTGGGCTGCGTGCTTGAGCCAAGGGTATTAAGGGTCAATTGGAAAAATAGTTGTCTGTCAAACAAACTGAATGAGTGAGAGTGTAAATAAACAAAATGAGTGGAGAGGTGTGGTGTGCTTCCTACCTGGTGATTTTCTGCCAAGAAAGCACAGAAGTTCCGGAGGAGCCAAAAGAAAAACACCCCAGAAGCTTGAATGAGATGCACTTACCTCTGATAATTTATCTTGTGCATTCAATCAGATAACAGAAGTTAATGACAGAAATTACAGCATCTTGCAGAAATGATGTTACAGCATCTGCTGTAGGTGAGATTCTCAAAATGATCTTTAAAGAGATTGTGCTGCATCCAAATTGTATCTTGACTGGGCTGTCTCTGCAATTCAGGTGTGACACATCCAAATTCATGTGCTGCTTCTGCATGTCTAGCCCATACTCCGAGGAGAAGCTCAGATTTTGGGACTGCCCTGTCAGCCCTTTCTGTAAGGACAGCAGTGTGACGTGCCTTTTGCAGATGAGAGAAGTGAGGCACCGAGCGGGGCTACTGAGAGTAGGTTGGAAAATCCCTTCCCTCTGAAGGGCAAAAATGGGAAGGTTTCCTGCAAGGATCCTGGCTCCTTTCTTTGGTCAGCTCTAGGTGAGACATGCCGAGCCTCCACTGGGCTAC